CAGAAGGAGGTTAGGGGAGATAGACATCTTAAGGGAGTTTATAGAATGAGGGAAAGGGGAGATAAGTATCGTGAGTGAGTCTACAGTGGGGGGAGGGGAGAGAGGGGGAGATATGTATCTTAAGTTGGGAAGGGAGGGACAACACAAGAAAATTAAGGTGTAGGTGTGTGTGTGTGTGTGTGTGTGTGTGTGTGTGTGTGTGTGTGTGTGTGTGTGTGTGTGTGTGTAGTAACCCCACAAGACCCTATCCTCCTTAACTACCACAGTGTGAATTCAATAGAGTAAATCTTCGTCAGATACAGCAACCCTCCAGCAATTACTCACTGTGACACTGCACGATTAACGCAACACTCTGTAATAAACCTTAGCCCCCACACTGAGCATCAATCATGGTCATCAATCACCATCTGCCAGTAAGACATGTTGCCAGATATGACCTCCACTTCCAGGCCACTTCTGCTGACTCTCTCGTGGGATTTCAGTACTCTTGAAAATTTACGACTAGCAAACGTGAAAAATGTCTTCATCTCTTGCTCGTATATAACAGTTCATATATAATTTTCAGGGCAGTAAACAAGGGTAACGTCTTGTTATTAATATAAACACTCCGCTCCAAATATATAATCACAAAGGAAAAACAAATACCACCTGTTTATCTACTGGCCACCCACGACCGCTCTGCTGCTCTACTCTGTATTTAACTGTTATATGAAGTAAAGTACTGAATGGTATGTAAATGTACTTCATTATCTTAAGTGATTTGTCTTTAGTATTACCTCATGTTTCTGTTACTATAGTGAGTTTATGTTATGCTCGTTGTTTAAGTTTTGTTATCAATATTTTCGTGTTTCAGTGTTCAGTCGCACCATTTTAACAAACTTTTATGTACCTAATTCTGTAATATATTTTGTTGCACATATAGTTTTCATTGTCGATGCTTTTTCCTTTTATTTTGTGTATTTCAGGACCGCTGGTGACAAGAGGTATTGTCGGAACGTCACCACATATATGGTGTGATGTTTACCACCCACACGCTGGTGCTGGTGCTCATAATATTTATATATATATATATATATATATATATATATATATATATATATATATATATATATATATATATATATATTCATTCTTGAAAGTTATTTCAAGAATATACTGTACACCTGTTCTGTGTATACACATACACACAACATTGTTACCGGTAAAAGCTTGCACGAATATATAAAAAATTCTCACAAAAATCGCCTCTTACGTCCATAACTTTTCCAATTTTGATTATCGTCAGGTTGATGGAATTTTCCGGTCTAAAAATATTGCTTCCAGGACAAAGTGCTGCCCATCCCAGCCTTTAAGCAATCTTACTTTATTATCTTCGAGTGGCATCAATCATCCCAAATTAATCTATTATGTAAGGTGTGCAAAACCATTCTTGGAGCTGGTCATACATCTCTCCCCTCCCCTCACGTCTCGTCTCGTCCAGTATGTGAGGTTATCAGCACGTCTGGTCTTACGCCAAGGATAATGGACTCCCTGATGATGTGGTTGTATATTTTTAGAGTCCTGTTTATTCTAATTATTATAATGTCCTGTCTACAAAGCGAGTGAATTATCAGAGACAGGTTAGCTAGGCGCACGCGCACACAGTCTCCAAAATTGGGCCACCATCAACCATACCAAGACCATGGTTATGCACATCAACCTTTCCTCCGACCTGTCCTACCTCCTTTCATTATATTGGACCCCAACACACTCCAGGTTGTGAACTCCACCAAGCTCCTTGGGGCCGTCACTATACTATAGATAAAATAAATTGCAAAACACGCGTTAGTGCAATTGTCAAATCTTCCAGCTTTCGTCTCCACCTCCTCCGTAACATTAAGTCCCCCGGAGTTTCCGCCCCCTGAGCTTTTCAGTACTTACTCAACATTCATACTTCCCAAACTCACCTGTGCTTCCCTTGCCTGGTCTTCCTTCCTGAATGACACACAACGGAAACACCAAGAGAAAGTGCAGAAGGGGCGTGTAAAATTATTCTCTCCCCTTCCTACTCCACATATCAAGAAGCGCTCAATACACTGACCTTCTCGGCTCTCTCTGATCATCACTACGACCTCACCTGCAAGTTTGGTGAGAAGCTTCTGCACCATCCTCGCCAATGTCTCCTGCTCCCACCCGAAATCCCTCGTCCGCGAGTTGTTGTTCAATACAACCGCACCCAGCCCATAAGACCACGTATTGATAGGTACAGTATAAGAACATCCGAGTCCCAACCATTGTAAAAGTTATCAACAGCTCGAACTTAACCAGTGTGTTCACTCCCAGCCAAATCTTTTGTATAGTTACTATGCTGAAATTCCTTGTTAAATGACCTTCTGCCCGCTTTGTTATTATAAATCCTATTTGTACCGCCCATGTTATATATATACAGTATATATATATATATATATATATATATATATATATATATATATATATATATATATATATATATATATATATTATTTGTTAATCAAGTGACATTTCCCAAATTATGTAACTTTCATCATCTCTGTTGACTGTACATTTTCAGCCCTTTGGCTGCCAGGTTATTTCAATAAACTGTTAATTATTATTCACACACACACACACACACACACACACACACACACACACACACACACACACACACACACACACACACACACACACACACACACACACACACACACACACACACACAGTTCACCTCCAATTTGCACTCCCTGTCACTATCTATGAAGCCTGTATCCACCTCATTACTCTTTCATCTCCTTTTAAATCACAAAACATGGTATCATTATTCTTCCTTGACACAATCCTACTTTCATCAGGATACAGTTTAGCACATCCTTCACTCTTTCTAAAACACCTTTCCTTCAACTCACTCACACAACTGTTGGCAGGTCTTTCTTTATATACTCCATCATACCATTTCCTTGATATACTGAGATATATTCCTAGATTATATTTACCCCCTCGTCCTTTATACTATACAGGAGGACTATATAAGCTCTCTGGTATTCTTCTCTCTTTCAAACCTATACTATACGGCTATACAGTATACCCTATACATACACCCTATTCACCCTCGTCAGTCAGTCCCTTCACCTCTCCCCCTACCACAGTTATCCCTGCCACTCCCGGAGACCCGCTGTTCTCAAGGTTTTTTACAGGGTCTCCTCTCCTCCTCCTTACTTGTTCTTTCTTTTCTCTCGCTTCTTAATGCTTTTCATTCATCTACGTCCCAAACATGATGGGTCCGTCTCACTCATCTGTCACCTGCAGCAGTTATACATGATGTTATCCCTAGCCCTGTTATTTTACCTCGCCTTTGGTCAATATTATATCTCCCTTTCAGCCTTTACTGTCATCTCGATTTGTTTTCTGGGATTTTTCAGTATGTTCAATTCCTTCCCGAGGGCTTTTATTCTCTTTTAAATTTATGACACACACACACACACACACACACACACACACACACACACACACACACACACACACACACACACACACACACACACACGTGCCAAGAGTTTTATGGAAAATCGTCTGACTACACGAAAAAAAAAAGGCAACGAACTCGATTGCGAAACAGACAAAAAAACTTAGTATTAGAACAGCAGGAAAACCAGTGAACATTATATATGGTAAAACAAACGTCCTTCGTTCTATTAACCTAACCTAACCTAACCAAATCATGTGTAAATTAGATTAGATAAGTACTAATGACATTCATATATATTTCGTATTGTTTATGTACACGAGTGACCTTAATTACATAAATTGTTTTAATAAATCACAAATATATTAAAATTATTCCTAAAACACATTTATTTATACAGTTATATATATTTTTTTCCCGCTCGGTGCAGTAAATGGAAAAGACAGCTCGGACTATCCCATCGTTCACTACCATTTATTTCCTTAACTATCCTAACAAATTTCCTCTAATCTGGTCTTCTTTCCCTTCCACAACAAGGTACACTAAATTTCCATCCGGTTCACCATTGCTGCTTCACATATCCTAGTCTCACGTACCCAGCCTCACGCACCCTAGCTCCACTCACGCACCCTACCCCCCCACCCCCCACACACACACTTGGCTCCAATAATCAATACCGAACATAGGAACAAAAAAATTAAATCTTCACAAATAAATATACCAACAGAGGCGAGCGAGGCGAGGATGATAATGACTCGCCACCCTCATAAAACACCAGCGAGGCGAGCATTATTACTCATGCGTCATCATATTCGACAGCCTGCTCGTGTCAACTACCTATTACAATAACAAATTCATATGAAAATCACCCCCCAAAAAATCAACAAATAATCACCTTACGAACACTTGCTATTAGAGGTGTATTTTGAACAGCTAGGAATCAATTGAGTAACTTTAGTCTCCAATACATTATAAATTCAATCAAAGATAATTAAAAAAAAATACATAGAGCAAAAGTGTATACATGATAGTCTTATTACCTTTAAATGTTTAATAAGTTATTATTGGGGGTTTTCTTACTTGATATAAATTAAATATTAGGTAATTAAGTATACTGAAGCCAGGTATTTTACAGGTAGATCTGAACGGTTGGTGTCTAATGATGCGTCTTACCTGTATAATACCTACCGTAATTAATATAATAAATAGTAAAAAAAACCCAGACATACATACATACACAAAGGGAGAAAAAACACACAGAAAGGCAGACAAAGGTACACACAAGCAGAATGACACACACACACACACACACACACACACACACACACACACACACACACACACACACACACACACACACACACACACACACTATAATACGTTCCCCTTTAAGAGAGCTTATAAAAATCACTGTACACGCTGACAACACGGGCGGAAATAGTAGCAGTGATAACAAAATGCATTACTGGGCACAACGATAATGGTGGGTCAGTTAATGGTGATAATAGTGACACAGTTAATGGTGACAATGGTGGCACAGTTTATGGTGACAATGGTGGTACAGTTAATGGTGACAATGGTGACACAGTTAATGGTGATACAGTTAATGATGACAATGGTGGCACAGTTAATGATGATAATGGCGGAACAGTTAATGGTGACAATGGTGGCACAGTTAATGGTGACAATGGTGACACAGTTAATGGTGACAATGGTGACACAGTTAATGGTGACAATGGTGACACAGTTAATGGTGACAATGATGGCACAGTTAATGGTGATAATGGTGACACAATTAATGATGATAATGGCGGAACAGTTAATGGTGACAATGGTGGCACAGTTAATGGTGACAATGGTGGCACAGTTAATGGTGATAATGGTAACAATCATTAATGGTGTGACTCTAGAAACCAAGAAGTATGGTAGCTATCTAATAATGGTAATCACGATGACAAAGTTTAATACTCATAATGTTAAAAAAAAAAAATACCAGGAATTATTTATAGTAACAAAGGTTTAATTAAACGTCATAGAATTATTTCCAGTGAAAAACTTACGGCGGTGAGACGATGTTTAAAGGTAACCACAGAAAGGGAAGAGTAAACAACAACAAGACCAACAACAACAACAACAACAACAGCACCACCACCACCACCAAGACCAATAACAACAACAACAAGACCAAGACCAACAATAAGTCCAACAACAAAAAACACGAAACATAACACAGCGTTATGATTGGTCAGGAAATAATGAACCTGAATAAAACACCAGAATGACTTGGTTCCCCCAGATATTTTTCTTTCCTGAATTCTAAAAAAAAAAAATAATAATGCTTCTAGATCGCTATTTGAAGTCTAATAAAGAACTTAATAACACTATCAACTCAAGAGGCAGATGAAAACTGTATAAATTAGCGTAAATAAAATGGTATCTCCTCTTCTTTATATACCAGATAATAGTTTAATTAATTACTAAACGACCCAATTACAAGTATATGGAACTGTGATAGAATGAGTGACATATTCCCAAGCTCTTCAATGTCTGAGTACAGTATTATCATCACTACACTACGCACACGTTATCCAGTACGGTATGATTTATTTTATATATCAAGTTGTAGTTTCTCGTCAGCCGTCCAGGAAGTGAAGCCTGATACTCCACTATTGACATTTCCTTGACCTCTGACCTTTTCAAGAAGACGACACATCACCACAAAACATGCAAGCGCGCGCACACACACAAACACACCCACACATACACACACACTAGGTTGTAAAGCGGTGTGTGTGTGTGTGTGTGTGTGTGTGTGTGTTTTATGAGATCTTAACACGGATAAATGGTTCATATACACAAGTGAGGTGCGTATGAGACTCAACAATATATTCTCACATTTAAAAGCGTAAAGAGCTGTAAGGTTTTGTACCAACCATTACAAAAATGAGAACATGCTTACTGAGATCAAGAACAACCATTCTGTGAGGTAAATGAATGTTAGGTCAAAGGTCAAAAGTAAAGTGAGGAAACTATGACCTTTGATACAGGTGAGAAACATGTGATAGTTAGCGCCACACAGATACACCCATCTAGACAAGTTCAGAAACACTGCCCATCAAAGTGGTAATTGTAGTTGGTGTGAAGATCCTTTTGTAATACTCGGGGAGCTGTAGAAGCGGTGGTTTGCGTGAGAACACCTTACTGTATCCGACCCAACTTAAAACAGTCGAATAAATAAACCAAATAACAAAATGACTCGACATAAGGTCAAAAACATGAACTGGAAATTGACTGGGAGTTGCTACCTGGAGTAACTTTAAGGTTTAACGTATTACAACTACTTATTTAAATTCTTTTCCTGATTTTCATCGACCCACCGCTGGATACGTCCCACTAGACTAGGGTTGAAGGAGGGGAGGTGCAGGGGGAGGGCGAATGGGGAGGGCGAAGGGAGGAGAGGGGGAGAGGAGAGGGAGCAGTGGGGACAGAGAGGGTAAGAAGGAGGTATGGGAAGAAAGACGCGCCGGACCTGCACGAGTTGCCGAGCGCACAATACACTACCATATACAGTGAGCCATTATGGTGATGTATGCAGATTAGTTGGCAAACCGGTGGAAAATATACATAATATAAACTATACACTTTACCTTCCCGGCCATTATGGATATTGACTTATATCTGATTACACAGAGAACACATAAGAGTGATTAACGTGTGGAACTGTTCCTTACCGCCAGGCCATTAATCTTATTGCTCCTGATGGTCCATTGGTGGCAGCCACCTGATAAGAGACCAACAGATGCTTTGAGCTGGACAAGAGAGATTAAATCATCGATTACGAGGTTAGTAACAGAAAACCGGATATCTAAACAAGAGGTAGAAACGATACCATGATGTAACTTATCCTTCACTCACTTTGCTACCCGGGCGGAAACTCCTGGAAGAAGTTCTGGCGCTCCAAAAACTTTCGGTAAACTTCGCCCACTCGGCTGACGCCATCGAAGTAACCAATCACATTTTTCTTTTACAATAGATATATGACGTCATCGCCGAGGATACTTCATGAGCTTCCCACAGCCTTCTCAACACACTTGCTTCACTCCATCCCCCAGTTCACTTCGTCCTCGACCCGTCCAATCCGTGGTGGTCAACTCTGGCCCCACACACACACACACACACACACACACACACACACACACTAAAATGGGAGCGGCAGGCGTGTGTGACAGCAGCCTCCCCCTCCCTAGAATACCAATGAGCTCAACAAGGCACAACCAATACCCATACACTATTCTGACATCAGCTGCCACTTCTTTGATAAGAGAGCATAATAATGTCAAGACTTGCCAAGGACAAAACCCACGTAAAACTTTTAAAATTAATCCTCCCTAAGATATAATGTAACTAATTCTACTTAAAAAAACAAAAACATCAACAATACTCTATTCCATTGTATTAGGTTATCAACAATCACTCCAGCTTTACCTTATAGAATCTTTAAGGTACAGAACACAACAGCACAATACCTACCACATGCCACACAGAGTTAGCACACACAAGTACGAGCAAACTCTCTTAAAACTAAACTCCTTTCCTGAGTCACATTCAAGAACAAGTTAATCATAAGACCAACACTGGTTTAATCACTGGTTTAATGAGGTAATAAACCTATCAAACCCAGGAAACTTGATAATTAACAGAGTAATAACATCAGAGAATAAATTGAGTATAATGACAAGTGTATATCAGAGACTTAATATGATCAAGTGTACAGGTTGGTGACAATGAACAGTGAGCACCAAAGCGTGTCGTCTCTCGCACCTCAGCCCGGGTAACTCTGTCGACAACTGATCCATTATGTAAATAAATAGACGGTCGATTGGATACAAAAATCAGCTAGTCAGTCGTAAAGCACTAACATGCTTTCAGACAAACAACCCCCCCCCCCAACACACGGAGAGGCAAACATAATCCACTGATCAAAATACTTCCGTCAAAGCGAATTTCCGTCACGTAGTAAGACATTCAAATACACGCTTTTAAAAGTCGGCGTGTGCGACTTTGGCAGCCAATCTCCCTAAATGCCAGCCTTTGACCTTTCACTGAAATGTACGGCGGGCCTGGGCTTTGATTCTCAAAGCGACGTATGTTAAAAACTTTCTACTGAGGATGTGAGGAGCTGACTCGCCTTCCTCTTGACATAAAGATGACAGTCGAAGTGGCGTTAATATAGCGCAGAGACTCGACTGTGGCTACAAGTTTCTTCCCTTATATTTGGAGAATTGTGAATCAAATGAAGAAAAACTCTCTCTCTCTCTCTCTCTCTCTCTCTCTCTCTCTCTCTCTCTCTCCCAAAGCCATCTGCGCGCCTGACGGATCATTTTCTCCCGACATCAATAAAACAAACAAGAGTTCTTAATATTATCTCGAAGATGATTACAGACTTGAGTAAATTTAACGAGGCGACGTCGAGCCATATTAACTGCGGAGTATACACAAGGAAGGAAGGAAGGAAGGAAGGAAGGAAGCTCAGTGCCACAAGGAGGTGAACTGACTACCATAACAAAGGACCTCCATGATCCAACAACCCAAGTCGTTTAGAAAGACTTGCCTCGGGGGTAAATGATGAATCCCCGAGCAAAAAATTAATTACTTTGAAATTCTTTGGTGTTGAAAGTTAAGGTTGAGGAGGAGCACTAGCAGGAGGCAGCTGAGTCTTGTCTCATAACATGACCTAGTGTTACTACCCCGTTAAACCTTTCTTACTAGTCTTTGTTTTACTCACATTACTTCAACATGTTAAAATATGTAATTATAACAGACATGTCCATGACCGGTGGCAACATATTATATAACTTAAAAACTAGTACAATATAACTCTAAAACAACAACAGATTTAGTAGCACTTCGACAGTGCCTCTTGTCGTCATCAGCCCAAAATTACAGCTGCATAAATAATAATAAAAATAAATAAATTCGAACCAAAATCAATGACATTATTGGATTACCTGGATGCACTGTTTACGTGTAAGATGAAAAATGTTGAAACTTAATACTAAAACAATGAAATACTAATTACAGTAAGTTAGTTGTTTTCTTCATCCTCTGTATAAGCTTCCATCCAGAGTCAATTCAGATGGAATACTGAATATTACATTATATAATACTGTTGATGTGCTGTGTGAGAGGTGACAAGAGGATTGTGTTGTTAAGGACAGAGGTGTTGAACACAGGAGTGTTTTTGTCTTTTTCACCTAAGGCGTATTATGTTTTTGTCCCGTAGTATCTCTCCATGTATTTATTGATATATATATATATATATATATATATATATATATATATATATATATATATATATATATATATATATATATATATATATATATATATATATATATATATATATATATATAGTGTGTCCAGCTACATATCTGGCTCGACTCCCTCATCTTAAATACTAGAAGCAGACTTTGGAGTATAATGGTGTAAAGTTAAGTCAATAACTAATAACTTTTTGGAGGGTAAATGTGGACGTGTATAAAATAAAGTTTTAGATACAGCATAAAACAGGGAGCCGGGGGAGGCAGGAGAGAACATTATATGCTCACAGTTGAGGGACATTGGACCCAATGTTCTAATAAATATAATGATCACTGCAGAGTTCACTAACTATCTGCCACACTCACTGAAACTCGGGCTCATATGTACTTTGGGTAAATTATACTAAGATTTGTTAAAGGAATTAAAAACTTTGTTAATTTATGAGATTATTCACCTTGCAGCCTGGAGGAGACGTCCCAAGGATTAGCGTCACGATAGTTTAGCCACAGGGCCACGAGCTAACGTTTGTTGAATATTAACCCTGTATAGTTTCCCGGCCACTGGAACAACAGCAA